GCGGGGCGGGAGCGGTGAGGGCGGCTGAATCATGGCCTGCCAGCCGGACAAGCCTTTTTATTTACCCTCTTCCTTTAAAGGGTTTAATAGGAGCAGGAAGTGATCGCGGGCTCCTCCCGGGTTCCCAGGGGGTGGGGGTGGGGAGAGCCGGCAGAGACCTGGGGGGGCCCCCACCTTCAACACCGCACTGGGCTGTGAGCTGGGCTGGTGCTGTAAAGCAGACACAGCAGGGAAAGCCCTAGTGGCGTGGGGCTGTGAGAGCCACCCTAGCCCTGCAAAACGGAAACACAGGTGCCCTGGTTCCAAAAGTATTAACATTTTCAGGACGGTGACTGGTGACTGCCAAGCACAAAGCCAAGTGTGGGACGTTCTGGGTGCAGGCCCATTAGGCTGGCCCTACCTGCCCTCGCTGTGTGGCCTGGGGCAAGCCCCGTCCCTGGCCCTTCAGGGTCACCCTGAGGAATGAGGGTCACCTCTGGCTCAGAACAGGCCTGGGCAGATGGCAGGCAGGTGGCAGCTGCCCAGTGGTCCCCACCTGTGGGTCCAGAGGGCCTGTAGGAGGGCTGGGCAGCAGAGAGGGCAGAGGTGGGGCCCAGGACGAACATAGGGACGGCTGGTCAGTGTTCTGGTGGGGGTGGGGGAGGGAGCTGGAATCTGCAGGCCTGCAAGGTGTGGGAGGGAGCTGGCCAGAAGGTGAAGGCCGCACAGGGTGGGTAGGTGGTGGGGGAAAGGATCTCCCCTCGGGACAACACAGGGCAGACTTGTAAGGTGGTAAGTTTCCCATCACTACAGGCATCCCAGCAGAGCTGGCCAGCCCATGACAGGCTAAGAGGATTCCAGCATCAGGCAGGTTGAGATGACTGACCCTCCATCCAGGGGCTCTGCCACCTTGGGGCTTGGGCTGTGGCTGTGCTGAGGGGTCCTCTGGGCAGTGGGACCCGGGAAAGGCAGACCAGGGCGGAACTCTGTGCCGCTGCTCTCGGGAGCCACTGTGAGCCTTTGGGTGCCCGGCGCTCTGCCCGGACCCCCTCCGGGACCCACCAACAATCCCCAGCCCCCGAGGCCAGTCAGCAGAACCTCAGACACTGGCATTGCTTAAGCACCTACTGTGTGCCTGCAGGTCTGGCAGGTGCTAGGACCCTGAGGAGAGGGGAGGACCCCTGCCTGCCCTAGGGAGCACCAGGGTAGCTGTGAGGGAGCGGGGGCTGGGGGGCTGGGGCCAAGAGGATGGCTTGGAGGACTCCATGGGGAGGGCAGGCGCCAGAGAGGGTCCCTGAGGAGCCCAGGTCCGTGAGGCTGTGAAGGCTTGCTAGGGGCTGGCGTTCCAGGCCTGTGCTGGGAGTGCACCCAAGGTGGGCATACTTCTCAGCACATTTCACAGATGTGGGAGCTGCGGCCCCAGGGAGGAAGGGACAGGAGAGAGAGGAGCAGAGACAGGGCTTGAAAGTGCTGAGGAATGACCGAGCAAGAGGAGAGAAGTGAGCGCCCTTGAAGACAAGGTGAGGCCAGGGGAGCTGCCCCTCCCCACGCCCACCCCGCCCTGAGCTCCTCTCCTTGCCAGGTCTCTGGGGGAGGGGGCAGGAGTCGCTGCCCAGTGACCTCGGGGTGCCACTCTGACAGGTGGGCATCAGTGGGAGCTGGGGGGGGGCAGGTCGTAGCGGGTGGGGAGCCCACCACCCCTCTACCCAGGGGAGGTGGGGACGGCCACCCCCCAGGGGCCCCTGGGTCACTGATTCCACCCGCTCCGCCTCAGTGACTTCCCAGCTCCTGTGAGGCCAAACCAGCATGAAGCCGCCAAACCAGCATGAAGCCGGAGCGAGGAGGGACCCTGTCCCCACCCCCAAGCAGGCCTGTCTGAGGCCCTCTGGAATGTGGGAGCCAAGAGCTGACTTTTCACCCACAGTGAGGACCTTCTAGGGGGATGCCCCCCCAAGGCCATTTGATACCTAGGACCTCAGAGGACCCACCAGGACGGACCCCCTGGTGTGGATTCATTCAGGCTGCACCCGTAGGGAGCCACGCTCCCCGCTCCCCACCCCACGAAGGGTTCTAGCCAGGTTGGTACAGGAGAGGGAGGAGCCACTGGCCAGAGACAGGAGCGTAGCACCTGCAGGGAGGCCAACATGGCCCCGCCCAGCCGGCCTGGCCTCATGTCTCCCTCGTGGTCACTCCATGAGGTGGGGGTGCTTCCTTGGTTTTGCAGGGAACAGGGTAGGGATCTCAGAGAAGTTAAGGGACTCAGGAAGTGGCCTCCCCCAAGCAGCTGAGCTGGTTCTGGGTGGGGGTGTCTGGTGGCTGCTTCTCAGACGGGGAGGGGGCCACACTGGGCCTTGTCTCACGTCAGGCAGCGCTGATCTCGGCCAAGTTTACTAATATTTATCCCAGGGCTGCATCCGGGATTCACCGGAGCCTGACTGAGGGAACTCCCCACAGGCAGACAGAGATGGTCCCCGAACACCCGTATGGGGACACCTGCCATCCCGTCCAGCTGGGTGAGGATGTCAGGCAGCCTGGGCAGAGGCGAGGGCGCTTCTTTGAAACTCACCAGGTGAGGTCATTTCCACGGCGGTGACGAGGCCAGGCCCTCCAGGCTCTTACCCAACAAGCCGGGTGAACGGAAACCATGTGTCAGCAGCCCGGTGCCCGGGGCTCGATACCATACTCTTCCGGCTCCCCTACCTGGGTCCCCCTCCTCTTGCCTCTTCCAGGAAGCCCTCCCAGATTGCCAGGGCCACCCTAAGGCCTGCTCCCACCAATGACATAACTGCTGGGCCTTGGGGTCCCGTTTAGGGCGAGCCTGAGGAGGAGGGCGGGGGAGGCCCTAGCTGCCGGGAGTTGCAGCACCTGAGAGGTGGCCTGATGCCACCTGACCTGAGCCCAACATCACCCGTTGGCTGTGGCCTGTAACTCAGGCCTGCCCTCAGTCCCTCTCCTCAAAGCCGCGGCCTGGGAAAAGTGAGCGGTCCAAGGGCGGGAGGCAGGAGGCCTGTCCCCACTTGGTTCCAGGCTCTCACTGTCAGCCTGGCCTTGGCCCCCCAGGGCTGTGTCCCTTGTCCCTCTGTCTGGCTCCCTGAGCCCCTCAGCAGTAGTCTGACTGGCAGGCCCCGCCTTACTGGGCCCTGAGGATCGAATGAGACTGACACTGCACCTTCCTCCTCCTCGGCCCCTGTCAAGCTCCTGTTCACCCCTCAGGACCCTGCTCAGGAGTCACTATCAGCTCCTGGAATGCAGTGACATTCTAGTCTTCGGGAACCTCCCGGCCCAGCCTGGGCACTCAGGAAATGTTTCTGGAAATGGGTGGACCTGAAAAGCATCCATCTGCCTGTCCGAGACTCCCCACTCTGGGCAGAGCAACCGACGTGGGGATCATTTGTTTGTCTGTGGAACCGAAACAGCTGGTGGTGGGGGTTGTCGGGGGGCGGGACCGGGCCAGGCAGGCTCAGGCCTGGGGGGCAGAGGGGAGGGGCCTCTCCCATCACCACAGAATGGACGGGGAGAGGGGGGAGCCGCTGGCATTCTCGTCACTGAGCAGACTGCCCAGGGCCTGGTTCACGGGGACAAGAGACCTTTCTGGAAGCTTGAATGAACGAGTGAACGAAATACAGGAAAGGAGGAGGGTGGAGGTGGACGAGGCATGGCCACCACCCTCTGAGTAGTGGCCAGCCCTCGCGGCAGCTGGGCGGCACCACCACAGGACAGGCAGGGCGCCCACCCTGACCTCCAGCGTCCGGTGCAGCTGGGCTGGGACAGGGCTCTGTCATGTGTATTTTAATCAAATTCTTTCCAAAAGAAAGTTATCAAAATAGTAACAAAGTGTTGACACAAAAAAGTAAAAATCGCTGAATGATTTCAAAGTTTTGAGTCATCACCTCTCATGATCCCATCCCAGGCCCACTTGACGTAGCGAGTGACTTTTGATTCTTTTAAATTTATTTTTAGTTAAAACATTTAATGATCCTTTTTAAAAGATGCATTTGCATTTCCTCAAAAAAATTAAGACTAGAGTCACCATGTGACCTAGCAGCTCCACTGCTGCATGTGTCCCCCAGACGTGAACGCAGGGACCTGAGGTGCTTGCCCACCCAGGTTCACAGCAGCATCATTCACGACGGCCAGGAGGTGGAGGCCACCCAAGTGTCCCCTGATGGGTGAATGGATGCACAAAATGTGGTCCAGCCACACAACGGGGTATTACTGAGACGTGAAAAGGAAGGAAATGCCGACCCGGGACACAGTGCCGATGAAACTTGGGGACGTGATGCTCAGCGAAACAAGCCAGACACAGAAGGACGAATCCTGTCTGATGCCACTCACGCTCATGTGTGCCCCCCAAAGGCACCAAATTCATAGTCGGACAGTCGGATGTTGGGGGCAGGGGTGGGGAGTGAGTGTTTCATGGGGACAGTTTCAGTTTGGTAAGACAAAAGACGTTCTGGAGACAGACAGTGATGATGGCCGCACAGTATTGTGAATGAACTTAACGCCACTGAGCTGTGTGCCTAGAAATGGTTAAGATGGTAAATTGTATGTTACGTATGTTTTACCATAGTTAAGAAACTGTGCGTCTGCCATCTTTGTCGTGCACATCCTTGTGTCTGTTTGAGAGCCTCTGGAGTGGGTTGATGGTCCCCAGAGGTGTGTCCGTGTCCTCACCCCCACTGACTGTGACTTACATGGTAGAAGAGTGACTGTTACCTTGTACGGCAAGAGATACGATTAGATGATTAAATTCAAGAGCTTGAAAGGAGGCGCTGGTCTTGGATTACCCAGGGGGCTGAATGCCATCACAGCTGTTCTTATCAGAGATACACTGGAGACAGAGGCTGGAGGGATGTGGCCACAGCCCCGAGACAGCTGGAACCTCTAAAGCTGGAAGGTTCCGGAAGGATCCTTCCCTAGAGCCCTGCCAACATCTTGATTTTGGATGTCCGACCTTCAGAACCACGAGTGTAAATTTCTGTTGTTTTAAGCACCACAGTTTGTGGTCATTTGTCACAGCCACCCCAGGACAATGATACAGCCCCCAGGCAGTCGGTGCTGACCCTGCCCTCCCTCTCCTACAGCCCTCCCCCTCCCCTGGGACTGGAGCACACAGTCTAGTGGCAGATGAGGACCAGACAAAGGTGATGGGGTCATTAGCCGGCCATGGGTGGTGAGGTCAAGGCTTCCTAGGGATACGGGTGACTTTTGAGCTGGGTTTTCGAGGATGAACAGGAGTTCTCCACATCCCCTGGCTTGCCCTGGGCATGGGCTCAGAGCTAGACGTCCAGTGTGCTCTGCGGAAGTCTGAAAATCCAGACGGAAACACTGCCTGTCTCAGGTGGGGAGCCTGAGGCCAGGTCTTCCTGGCCCTAGACTCGGAGCCTGAATGGATGTGGATGGCGGGAGGCGGAGGTGCCCTGACAACCTGAGTCCAGCTTGTGTGGCTGAGAGGATGGATGATCTCCGACCCAGACAGTGAGGAGAGGTTTGGGAGCTGCCTGAGATGGGGGAGCACTAGTGGGGAGGGGCTGGTCAGAGGGGCCCGCCTGGCCCCTCCTCTGGTGGAGACGCTGGTTCCTTTGGCCCATCAGCCTCTCTCTCACTCGGCACTTTGCCGGGTGTCCTGGCCCAGGCTTCTTGGGCCCCCTATCCAGGCATCTCATGCTCTGAACAGTGTCCCCTCCCTACCTCCCACTTCGCAGGCCAGAGGCCTCGGGACCCCCTCCCCTGCTCCCACCTCTCCTATGCCTCTTCTGCCACCCCTTCCCATCCCAGCCTCTAGCCTGGCCACCCGTGGCCATCCACATGCGTGCCCTGGGGGCACTGCGACAGATGACAACATGCCTGGGGGCCTGGAACAACACAGATCTACTACCTTCCAGCTCTGGAGATCAGACCCGGCCCAGCCCCATCCTGAGCCCTCTGCTGAGGAGCTGGGAGTGGCCCCTGGGCCTGGCCCCCACCCAGTCTCCCCCTGTTCTTCTCAGAGCCCCTCTGCCCCGCTGTCTGAGGGGACCCCAAGGACAGGGCCAGGGTGCCCCTCAAGATCCCCTCCCCCACCTCCACTGCAGAGCTGGTAAGGGGCTCGTCCAGGTCACAGCGGCTCACAGCCTGGGGGTCCAGATGCTCACTTCTCAAGGGTCGTGGTCCTCAGCAGGGGAAGCCCTGGTTGCTCTGCTGGGATCTTCCAGCTGCTGCGGAAAATGGGGCAGCCATAGGGTAAAGACAAAAAGGCCCAGACATGCACTTTGGAGCCTCCGTGTCCCCCAGCTTGGCCCCAGACTCGCTGAGGCCGAGGGCCTTGACCTCCCGACAAGCTCCCAGCCGGCAGGCACTGGGGAGGCCGGCGAGGGCAGCCCTGGCCTCGCACACTCGGCCTTCCTCTCCCGAGTCCCCAGGGTGGCAGGTGGTGGTTGTCCTCCTGTCTCAGATGCAGAAACTGAGTCCCAGGGAGGCTGGGGTGTAGCCGACACTCCCAGACTTCTGGAGGAGCCCTGGGGAGCACCCCTGCCCCAGCGGAAGGAGCCCATGGAGGGTGTGTCTGTAGGGCCCAACCTGTCCTCCTGGGCCTGGAGGAGGGCCCCAGACCCCGCGAGCTCAGAGCCAAGTTGGGCGGGGCTGGGCCAGGCCTGTTAGGTCGTCATGGAAAGTAACATCCGGCCACCACCCTGAGCTGAGTCTACGTGGCCAGGCTGGCCCAGTGGTGACATCGCTGGCGGGCAGGGGCTCCGCCCAGACGCACCAAGGTGACTTGGCCTCAGGGGTGTGTGTCCAGGCCTCACCTGCCTGGTAGCCTGAGGAAGGGTCGTGCTGAAAGGGGGCCCTGGGGTCAGCGCCTGGTGGGAGTCCTCGCTGTGGCCCAAGTCGACCACGGTCAGAGGCCCCACCTCCAAGGCTCAGGGGCTGTAAGGAGGGTCCCAGGCATGCGAGGTGCCCAGAGAACCACACCAAATTCAGAGGAACTGAAAGTCCAACCTGGGCCAGAGAGGGAGCACCTGCTGTCAGGGCCTGGGGTCACAGGCTCCCGCCTGCCACGTGGCTCTGCCCTCTGAGGCTGAGGCTGGGGAGGACACGGCTGCCTCCAAAGGAAGGAAGCTGGGAAGTCATTCCACTCGGAAGGGCTCGGAGGCACGGGCCAAAGTCCAGGTGTGGCTGCGCTGGGCAGGCCAGCGGGCAGGGAGCCAAGGGCCACCCACACTAGGGCCAGTGCCCTCCAGCCAGGCCCAGCGCCCAGGACGGACCCTTCTTCAACCAGGGGCTCCCTCAAGGCATAGCTGGAAGTAGCAGCTTGCCCACTGGGCCCACTGGGCGCTCCTGGGAGGCAGGGGAGGTGGTCCCAGCAGAGGGCAGGTCAGGGGTCAGCAGCACTTCCAGCCCAAGGGCTTCGCCCTCCCACCCGGCCTGGCCTCCCACCTCGGGGGCAAGGCTTGGTGAGGGGGCATCTCCAGGTCAAAGTGCCCAGGGAGCAGGAGCCGTGGGGCTGAGACAGTCTGGTCCCATGGTGGCCTGGACTCGAGGGAGGGAGCCCTGGGGCCTGGGAAGGTGCTGCGCGCACGAGGGGGTGGGTCCACTTGGCCCCTGTTCCATGATGTGGGGGCCCTGAGCCAACACAGCAGACCAGCTGCCGGGGCCGGGGGAGGGGGGGTGCTCGAGAGAACTGTTCCCTACGCCAGGGCAGGCCCCGGGTGCCGGAACGCCCAACCCCTAAGGGGGAGACCATTAGGAAGTGCCCTAACGTGGGGGCTTTTAAGAAACCAGCTTCACTGAGGTACGGTTTATAAACGGACCCACTTGAGGGAGCTTCCCCCACCGCGCGGCCCCTCCCTTCCCTCAGACAGCGCCCCGGCCAGCCCCAGGCCCACCCCTCGGCAGCCACGCTCCCCACACAGGCCTGGAAAGTTTGGATGCCACAGAGAAGGGCCGCCCCAAGCCCCGCGCAGGTGACACTTCTGAGATCCCGGTGCTGTGGGCTTCCTATTGCCGAGGGTCCGAGAGGGGCACAGCCACTGCTCTCGCCCACCTTTAACTGCTGGCCACTGGTGGACGTGTCCACACTGCCTAGGGCCCCTGCTCCCCGAGACCCTGCCACAGGGCCCAGTGCCTCCCAGAAGTGGGGGTGCCAAGACCAGCACAGGACAGAAACCAGAAAGGGAAGCTGAGCCCAGTCAGTCCCTTGGTTTTGAGCGTGCGTGACAGGTAAGCCAGGCCATGTCTCCAACAGCTCGGGCAGCCTGGGGCCAGTAACCCAGGGAGCAGGGAGGCAGAGCCGTGGGGTGAGAGCATCATCAAAGTGGCGCCCAGAGGGGGGCCCTCCTCATCTAGGGGCAGTCCAGGGGCCCAGTGCGGACAGAGGCAGAGGGCTGACCAGGCAGCCTGGGCGGCATACCCTGCAAAGCTGACCCAGCTTGCACCCCCTACCCAAGCAGGAGTGCCTCCTCCCCCCGCCCCCCAGCTGATGGCTCCAGGCAAACCTACTGGATACTCCATGACATACAGCAGGAGTGGCAGGGACTGAACGAGCCTGAGGGCCTCTGCACTTTCAAGGTCCTGGCAACAATGGGGATGGGGCACACGGGGCTCTCAGAGGCACTGGAGGGTCCCACAGGAGGGGACTGGCTGAGGGGAGGTCGGAGCCATGGCACATGGGGTGGCACCAATGCTCAGGGCTTCGGGCTGCGGCCTTGCCACCCGAGTGTACCTGGAACGGCCGACTGACAGCCTGAGGCCAGAAGGCCCCCGGCCTGCACGGCAGCCTCACACACTTCGTACCCCACAGGGGAGAGAAAACCCAGCACCTCTGAGCATGGCCCTCCCCCTGCTCCCATCTGTACTGACCTGACATCAGGACACTTTGCTTGGGCACTATGCCACGTGGGTCACCACAGAGAACGCAGAGAGGGAGCCACCCAGGTCTGGATCTTCTGCTGCCCGGGCCTGGCCCTCCGTCCAGCTCCCTGGTGGGCCCGTAGCCTCCAGACGTGATGACCGTGGCCTCGCGCAGCCATGCGCCTCTCAACGCACCACAGAGAGTGTTCTCATAAGGATGTGGGCGCCCTCGAGCTTTGTGGCCACAGTCGGTCCACTGTGGGCGTGTGGGGACCGACTCATCACTCCTGGGAAGTGAGGGCTGCCCCCTTGGGGCCCGTGTAAGCTGCGGGAGCGCACCCGGCCCCTGTGCCCGCACACTCCGGGCTGAAGGCCTGCCATAAGTCACACCTCTCTGGAAACCCTACCAGCTGCCCGGAAGAGGCTCGGAGTCCACACCCCCGCTCCGTCCTCTCAGGCTGTCCCCGCAACTCACCAAACCCCCAGCACCCTCGCCTCTTCTCAGCGGCCATCGGGGCAGGGTTGGGGCAGGCCTGGGGAGGCTCACCGCAGCCCCCCTGCCAGGGGGTCTGACACCACGCTCGCCTGGGTACCTCAGGGGGGCAGCGCTCCCTCTCCCTCTGGCTCTGGTCACCTTGGGCTCAGCCATGCCGGGCGCTTCCTGCTCCTTCTCGTGGCCAGTACTCTCTCCCTCTGGCCGTTGCCAGGGAGAAGCCGGCCCCTCAGGAAGGCCAGCACCAGGGGAGCTGGACACTGGCCCCCGCGGAGCAGGGGGCGGCCCTGCCAAGGGCGGTCCCAGGGTCAGGAACTGGAGTGAGAGCCCTGGCAGCAGGTGTTTCTGGGAAAAGCGCTCCCTCCTGTGAAGAGGGAGGAGCCACCAGGGAAGCCCCAACAAGACGACAGAGCAAATACGGCCTTCAGGCAGGAAGTGTCCCTCCTGGAACCTTCTGACCAAAAAGGCAAAACCCCACAAGCGCTGGAAACAGGGGGAACGCTTCCTTAAGGTAGCAGAGAGCCCACCTGGGGACCCCAGACCCACCCCAGTGAAGTGGCCTCTTTCTAAAGACTGGCTTCAGAAGCCTCAGAAACAAGACAGAAAACCAGGGGGCTGCGTGACCACACCTGGCGCTGCCGTGAGGGGAGCAGGCCGGCACCCCCGCCCGCTCCGCCCAGCAAGAAAGGCATGCACAGTGCTGGCTTCATGTTTCACAACTTTAATAGAATATTCTAACTATTCTGTACAAATTGAAAACACTGTATTCAGTTACAAATGTGTGGTAAGTAAGGCTCAGCACCCTACAGGCCTGGCCACAGCGTGGACACAGCGCCCCCTGCTGCCAGCGGCCGCAGTCGCACCCTTGGAAACCCACACGCCAGCCAAGAACAGGTCGCTCCCAACCCAGGGCTTTTAAGACAAGATGAACGTGGGGCCAAGAAATGGGAGCTGCTGAGAAAGCAGAACATTTACACACTGAACGGAAAGGCTCTCCTCCCCAGCCCGAGCCCCGCACCACAAGGACTGGCAGATCCCGGCTCTGCCCTATGGCCCGCGTGTCGTGGGGACCGGCTCCTGCTGCCGGCAGCTTCCTCCATGCAGGCCTCGTCCCGTAGGAGCCGGACCACTTCCCGCGCAGGGCACCAGGTCTCCAGTCGCAAACCTGGTTTCAGAAACTCTAAGCACAAGCGACAGCGTGCGTCCCAAGCCCTCACCAGCGTGAAAGGGTAAATAAATACGAGATGAACCACAAGAGCTCGTGCCTCAGGGTCAGTGGGCGCCACAACCCCAGGCCCGCCCGAGAAAAGCGAAGCCCAGGAAAGGACAGTGAGAGGAGAGCGCCACTCCGCCGGCTCCCCCGACAGTTGGCATGGCGGGAAAACGGCGTGTGGGTCCTTCAAATGAAACAAGAGTCCGGCCCGATGGCGGGAGAGGGGTAACCGGCTCCAGAGGCCCTGGAACCACATCCCCGGACACGTGCCCCTGGCGTCTACCCTGTGTGGTCTGTGCCACCCCCCACCCCCGGCGGGGCCTGGCAGGTCCACTGAGCTGCGCCCAAGGCGGTAGAGGGTGCTAGAATTAAACCTCCTATTTCTGAAATGCATCTGAGTTACCACTGTACAGGTTAAGCAAAATAATAAAGTAAAAGGAGAAGTTAAGTGAAAACCATGCACTTGGAAGCGAGTTAGAGCTGAGCACTGTCAGGTCGCGGGTCGGCGCAGAGCTGACGACGTGCGGCGGCCACACCCGCGGGGCGTCTCACTGCTGTTTGCACTCGGAGGGCTGGCTGGGCTCTTTCTGTCAAAAGAGAAAACAAGACTGTAAAGAATCAACCAACCCCATCAGCCAAGCATCTCCACCCAACATCGAACACGAAGACTCAAATGCTTCATTTATTCTTACTGAAAAAATGGTTCCTCCAAATGTACTTTTAAAATAGTAACAAAAAAATTAACTTCCCAGGAAAAAGATCACAGTGGGACTGCCCATTTTTGTTTAAGGACATTCTCATTCACAGCAGAAGGGTCCTGGGGGAAGCGGGGGTCCTCCGGAGGCAGAGGCTGATTAAACGCACAGGAAAGCCCTGGTCCCAAAGCTGAAGGCGCCTCAGAGCCGTGGGGCAACCACAGCCCTGCCCACGGGCACCCCTCCGGCCCTGCAGGGAGGAGGCTCCTGGGCCGCTGCCTGAAGCAACCCCTGTCCCCGCGGCTGGCCCGAGGCTCGCGGGAGGGACGCCCCCGGCACTGGGCTCTGCCTGCGCCCTGACAGAGGACGAGAGGCCACTGAGAGCTTCACAGACCAGCCCCAGCCCTCCCAGGAGCCTGCCCATGGGGGAATTCCATCCTCCAGAAAAGGGGTGAGGGAGATCCTCCCTGCCCCGAGGCGCGACTCACTTCAGAACGACCCAACACCCACACCTCACCACTGAAACACGTGAGGCGGCCCCACGGACCGCGTGTGGAGCCAACAACAGCCCGAGAGAAGGAGCTTCTGAGCAGACAGACTTCCTCCCAGTAACCGGTGGTTTCTGGCTGTGAAGATGACCAATGACTGAACGCGACCAGCCAGGCCCACGGAGTTTCAGAAAAGCCCGCAGCACAGTCTGAAAGGACGTCTGGGACAGCGCCACCAACCCCATCAGAGGACAAGCCAGGCTGCAGCCTGTTCCGGGGAAGCCACACTGAAGGGGTGAAAAACCGTGTGCAAAAGATGCACACAGACAAATGCCCGTGGGCCCTGGTCCCAGCCCCCGCCCAGAAGTGTAACGGAAAGGGCACAGGGACGAGCCGGCACAGGCGCCCCACCCGCAATCCTAGCTGAGGAAGACCGCATACCGCCATTCCAAGGACAGACTTGGAGGAGGCCAAGACCCGTGGCCAAGGGCCCAGACGCTGGCTCCAGACTCACTGGGGGTGCAGAAGTGCTCCAGGCCTGGGACGGCGTTGGCAGGACGAGGGAAGAAGGGTGTGCGTGCCTCCGGAATGCATTTGCAGAAGGAAGGAGGTTAGAGATGCCGAAGCTGGGGGTAGGGTGGGGTGGGGCCGGAGCGGGTGGTGGGCCAGGGGGACCCGGCATGCTGCGTCTCCCTAGGTAAATGTGTACACTGGACACCGAGGATGCCAGGTAAGGCAGAGCGCTGCACAGTCCACAACATGCTCCTCGAGGGACTCAGGAGAACGCATCTTATTCACATAAAGTAAACCCTCTCCTGGGGGTACGGAGATGGCTGGCAGAAAGGGGTCCTCACCAAAACCAAGACCAGGACCAGGGCCAGGGCCACTGCGAGGGCAAGAAGCTGGACGGGAACCCTGCGTCTGGAGGGGGGGGAGGCCGGGAGCTGGCCAGACGAGGAGGACTGGGCCGCCACCGGCACCCCTGCCACCCGAGGCCCGTGTGCAGCCCCGGCCCTGGGGACAGCGTCCACGTGGACGCAACTCCAGGCTGCAGGGCTGACACAGAACCGGGACGTGAACTTCAGCCACGACACTGACGGTCTTCAGCCTGTGGCAGAGGCCGAAACAGAACTGCCAACTAAACCCAAGTGTCCTGCTGCAAGTCAGGTGCTGTCGGAAGCCTAGGCACCCAAGGCTGCTCACGAAGGACAAGAGTCGGTGTTTCAAAGGAACAAACTAACAGCCCACGTTGCCCGTCAGGGGCCATTTAGAAGGGTTTTAACACACAGCCAACTGGCACGCGCCACAGGCACGCAGCCCGGGGCGGAGGGCGGCCGGGCTGCAGAGGGACGGCCTCCTCCCAGGGGAAGCTCCAGCCCTGCTGACAGTCTGACGGCACCGCTGTGGTTACACTGAACAGAGTCCCTCGCTCCTAGAGACACAGGCCGGTGCGGGCAGATGCTCCAGGCAACAGGGACAGCCCTGGCGGGCGTCTTCAGACGTGTGGGAAGCAAGGGCGATTAGATGCCACCACCAGTGATCAGACTTGGCCTTCAGACACCGAGATCCACGATGTACATTCACTCCATCGAGTTAAAATGCTTTCCTCAGCCCATGTCTGCCCACTGCCTGTCAGTTCTCTAAGAAACCAAACCCACAGGAGTAAGACAGGGAGGCCATGCAGACAGGCCCCCAAGGCGCTGGGGAAGCCAGCCTCCCGGCCCCCCGAGCCACGAGGAGGCGCTGAGACACGGCCCCCTCTCCCACACACTGGCCGCCCACTGAGCTCAGCTCGTGCAGCCCTCGCTGTTCCCTGGACGGCGCTGTTCCTGAGCTGGTCTCCCCCAGAGGCCCACCGGCCCCTCCCGTGCACCATACTAGGGAGGGGGCTTCTGGCTGGGGCAGAGCTACGATGCCCGATGACCCAAG